GGGTGTGGGTGTGGGGTGTGAGTGTGGGTGGGGGTGGGGGTGGGTGTAGGTCTGGGGTGTGGATGTGAGTGTGGGTGTGAGTGTGAATGTGGGGAGTGGGTGCGAATGTGTGGGTGTGGGTATGATCACTTCTTTAACAACACCCACACCCCACCCACACCCACAGACCCACACCCACACCCCACACCCACACCCACATCCACACCCACACCCACACCCACACACCTAGACCTAGGGATGTGCAGTATCAGTATACTGACCACCGATAAAATCACACTGGCGTTCACCGATACGGTGACGACACTGACACTGAGCGCACTGTCTGCAGTGATGCACTGACACTGAGTGAACTGTCTGCAGTGACGCACTGACACTGAGCGAACTGTTTGCAGTGACGCACTGTCACTGAGCGCACTGTCTGCAGTGACGCACTGTCACTGAGCGAACTGTCTGCAGTGACGCACTGACACTGAGCGAACTGTCTTCAGTGACATACTGACACTAAGCGCACTGACTGCAGTGTCTGCACCGACATTTGTGTTCACTGGATCAGTGTATACATTGACACTGGCTGCGCTTGTTGCACTGACGTACTGACACTGATTTCCATTGACTAGAATTTATACACGGAAGACGACGATATATTCCGCTTGTAATATGTAGATTAACAAAAACTTTTCATTGAATGGAAGCATATCTGCTCAATAGTTTGATTTCTTGGGGCTTGGATATGTGAGGATAGTAGTGTGGGAAGGCTGTGTATTGTACAGCAGTGTGTAGTGTACAGAATGTAGGCGAGGTATCTCATTATATTACAGATAAGAATTCTTTCTCTTACGAAATCTTACTTTCTACGAAACTCAAAAGGGTTTCGATTTCGTTTCAAAGATCGAAACTTTTTAGGGTTTCGTAGGGTACCTTTTTTGTCAGTGTATTCGGATTGCACAACAACACTAACGAGGAAACATTCCCAAGTGTCACATCGCTTTTAAGTCGAGCATATGTGCACTATGTAGATCCTAACCATCTATGAATTCTCTGGAAAAAAAAGTTCGTCCCGGTAGCTTATTATTGCTGAGATACTGCCTTTTTACTGTATGTTTCAGAAAAAAGAGCTGTGGTCCCCTCAAGGATATTTGAAACACTGAATTTCGAATTTCCACTTCAAACTTTGCATAGATATATGTCTCAATGAGAATAGTTTATTGTGAAAGTTTCAGCTCTTTTCGCTGTTTCTATCATAAAATACAGTTATCTTAAAATTGCTTCTAAACACCGACAGATACAATGTTCTTATCTTAGACTAGGAGCAACCAAAACATTTGAAATCTTCCCAATAAACTATTCTCACTAAGGTCTATCTATATGAAAAGTTTCGGGCGGAAACTCATAATTCACTTTTCCTGATGTTCCTGAGGGTATCACAGCTTTTTCCAAAACACATAGTAAAAGTGTTGTATCTCAGCAGCAAGAGGCTAGCGGCACGAAGTCTTTCCAGAGAACGCATAGCTCATTAGGGCCTAGTGTATGCACTGATTCAGTGAACACCAATATCAGTGCAGATACTGGAACCAGTGCAGTCAGTGTCAGTGTATTCACTGGTTCAGTGAATATTAATGTCGGTGTAGACACTGCAGTCAGTGCATTCAGTGTCAGTATGTCACTGCAAACAGTGCGATCAGTGTCAGTGCGTCACTGCAGACAGTGCGCTCAGTGACAGTGCGTCACTGCAGACAGTGCGCTCAGTGTCAGTGTGTCACTGTCAGTAATTCACTGTTTTCACCGAAACTGCACATCCCTACCCACACCCACACCCACACCCTTTAAAATGCCAAATGTCCAACCTTTATAGAGTTGATTTTGCTCTGTATCGAACTCGGTCAAAACCGTGATTTTCGTCAAAAATGCATTTTTGACGAGGATCTCCTGAACGACTGGAACTAACAAGAAAGCTGAAATTTTCAGTGGAACAAGTACTGAATAAGATCTAACTATAACCAAAATTTCAGCTTTCTAGATTGATCCATACTCGGAAAATGCAAGTGCGCAAAACATTAAAATATGACAATTTTGTAATGTACTTTGTGGTATTGGCTAATTCGGTAATGATTCATTAATTCAAGCTGAATTTTTGTTTGATAATACAAAGTTATGATATCTATTAACAGTAAAAATTTCAAGTCAAATACATGTTTATTTCATGAGACATAGATGTCACAAAAAATCACAAAAAATGCACTTTTTTGGTGAGGGTGCTCTCAGAAAAATTTCAATATCTTGGGAACAGAACAATATTTTTTCAAACGGCTTGCGTCAGAATTCCTAGATCTCTTGACTCTATAATATATATAAAATTGAGCAAAATCTGACGACCTCGATTGAGCATGTCCTATGGTAGTCGGTCGTGGCTTATGCGAACTGGCTCATATGTATAATGAGTGGTGCTTTTTTCATATTTTCATCAATAACCTCTTGAGCTTTTTCACATTGTAGTTTATATTTATGCAGACGTTGTTTGATTAAAGTTTTGGATCGACCATATGTATAAGACATTGAATTTGCATCAGCCATTTGTTTTCGATACTCGGCCGTTCCAAATACCTTCAGTCAAGCCAAGATTAGAATAGTAAGACCATTGTTCATGTTGTAATTTAGAACAATTTAATTTATTGATGAGTTGTGTGAGTTGACGAATAAATACGAATATGTGTTTCTGATTCAATAATTCAATAAGTTTATCTTTATTCATAATAGTTGGTGCTGATGTTAATAATACTTGTGTAAACTGACTATCCGACAATTTTGAATAATCCGGTAATAAATAGGTTGGATCTGAACTAGTTTCCATATCTATAGCATAGAATATGTTTTTGTTGGGCAAACCTTCATATGACAAGTCATGTTGAATGTATACACTGGAATCCATATTTCCTACGTGAAAACCGAATTTGCTAGAGACATTTTTCTTTTTCATACGAAGTTGACGTCTACTCTTTTTGTTATGTTGATCTTTGTGTGTTTGTTGAGTTTGATTGAATTTATTTTTCGTGTTTGCTTGCTGAGAGTTTTTTTTAACTTTGATAATATTTTGGGAGTTGAACTGATTAGTGTTAGATATCTGAAATGAGAAGAAAGTCTAATACAGAATTTTTTTCGAATATAACACAAGTATGAAAGAGAAAAAAACAGTGAATTTAGAATACAGTATATTTACAAAAGAAATAATAAGAAAGCAAAAATATTTTTATATCTCTATAGTGTGCATTAGTTATTCGTGCCATGACCGTCGATTCCATTTGTTTATTGTTCTAAGTAAAAAGAACAAGTGATATACAATAGAAAGAAAATTAGGTTATCTCTTACTCTTTGCTAATGGATCTCTCAATATTGATGACGCTGGTCGTTTACGTGAAAGTTCAAATTCAATATTTGGATTATTTCGAAAACCAACAACTAATCTTATTTCTCCCTTGTCTGTGTTTTTAAAGTGACTATCGTGTATCATGTGTATTTCACGAGCTAGACCTTTAAGTCTACACTGTAAAAAAAAGCGTAGAATAATAAACCCTTTAAGGGTTTATGAAAGTGCAACGAATAATATACCCTTTTTACCGTATGTTACACTTTTCATAAACCCTTTCATAAACCCTTTGGAAGGGTATATGAAGGGGTATATGAATTTCATAAACCCCTTCATAAACCCTTTGGAAGGGTATATGAAAGGGTATATGAAAGGGATTTATGAAATTCATATACCCTTTCATATACTCTTCCAAAGGGTATATGAAAGGGTATATGATTTTCATAAACCCTTAAAGGGTACATTGCTTGAGTACGGAAATATTATTTGTTTTCTACGTATGTCAAATTTAACTTTTGCTTTCCTGCAATCTTATCAACGAGTCATCGATTTCAACACGACGTCCTGTTTAGAATTACCAAATGATATCGATCAACTATTTATTAAAAAACTGAACGAAGTGTTCTCAATGCAAAGTCTCACAGACACATATGTTATTGTACCTGTTTTGGATATTTGTTGCAAATGTGCTTCGATACCTGTACGAAGTTACTTTTGCTTGTCGGAATTTAGAGTGGACTTTGAGCATGATTAGAATACATATATCATTTTAAAATTATTGCTTACTGTTGTTTATACCTGAAATTTTCTTTCAATTACAATCTCATCAAAAAATTACTTTTTTTTTACTATATTCTAGATTTTTTTCAAATGAATAGCAATATATATGTTCGACCTTATGCATCAACACGACCATCAGCAGTCGACCTTTACTGTTTGGTATTATTTAAAGAAGATAATTCGTACATTGTTAAAAAAAGAATCAACTGCCAACTGCTGATAAATCTGGATTAGTTAAGATACGTTTTCAAAAACAAGTTATGATTGGTATGATAATTCGTGAGGGTTCGTGTTTTAAAATGAATGCTGCTAAAGTCTAAAAAAATTAATGTATATCTTAGGTTCCAAAGATGAGTGTGAGAAAGCTGGTCGTGGACTCGAGTCAGCAATAAGAACTGACTTCGAATCTGAAGCTGAAGTTTCGTATTCAACTCAAAACAAATTAGATCAGCGTAAAGAAAATCAAGATCCATCATTAAATTCAAATTATACAAAACCTACAACAGCAAATGTTTGTGCGTGACCTCCTTTTTCAGGTACAATCTTTTTCTCTTCATAATATCATACTAGCTTTACTGTGAAGCACAGTTAAAAGCCAGAGAAATATTTTCTAGTAATTTGGTTAAAAAGAGACATGCATCTTCAATTCTATGTGAAGTAATATAAGATAAATAAAATAATTGCCTTTCTAAAAAGATGTACACATTGGCCAGTACTTTTAAAGCATTGAATATTAATAATAGAGCTTCAATATAATAAAGAATATGTTTTCACTAACTTTGCTTAAATCCATTACTGCTCTGATTTCGGTCAAGTTTATTCTTACTTTTCTTTAGAGTTGATTGGCCGTAAAGACCGAGCTCCGGAAGAGCCAAAGTCAAATACTGCCAAAGAAACAAGTAATCAAAATAATAATAATTCAAATTGATTCGACTTTAGCTTTAGATGTAAAAGATCTTGGAACCCATCAAATACCATCATCTACTAGCGATTCAAGTGATGAAATCGATTCAATTGAAGAGATGTTGGAGGAGCTCAATGAAATCAATCCATCAAAGAAAATTGTTTCCAAAAAGAAACGAAAGAAGAAAAACCAAACTGCTCCAGCTGCTAAACGTTTCGTTGCTACCAATAGTATAGTATCAGATGATAATTCAACATGTTTCAACTGTAAATGAAATATATAAAATCTTACAACGAATGGAAAACGATTGTCAAGCAAATAAAATTCAATTAGAACAACTTGTTGTTGAGCAAAAGCGACTGAATCAAATGGTACGTCTGTTGTTTGAAAATCAAAAACGTATTCAAAGAGGTTTTTCGAAACTACAAGTAACAGGTTTCTTTTAATATTATAAACTTTTCAATAGATCGTTTCTATATTTAGGTTCATGTACCATTGGTTGATCCACAAGATGAAGATAATGAAAACTCAGATACAAGTAATGTGGCCCCATTTCGTAAATCTCTGGTATAATATGATTACATCTATATAGAAAACAATTAATCAAATTTACTCAATCATTTTGTTTAAGGAGTGGTCTGTTGGATCATCTGATTCCGTAGACGTCTTGCTAATTCCGGCAGATCCAACAAATAAAACACGCTATGTAACTAAGATTTTGAACACCGTCTTTTCACGTGAAGATCTTGAAAGTATTCAACGAAATGCCTTACCTACTGATGAACGATATCTTTTTGTGAAAGGTAAAATATGATTTCATCTTTATTTCACTGTCAAACTGCATATTCTTTTCAAGAGGCCGTCAGGTCCAAATTTAAACTTGATGCTGCTCAAATGACATTACAATAGCCCATATTTCACGAAGCTATCATGCAGAAAAGAAGAAATAATCGACGTGATAGCCGTGCAAATGGTACAAATCAATCAACATAGATAAAATAAAAAATATGAAAATACACTTTACTGATATTTGCCATTGATCTATTTTTTTTTGGTTAATTAATCAAGTGAATTTTTTTCACTATTTGTTTTTACTGTTGTTTCCGATTGTAAATGTTGAACTAAGCTTTTTCTCATGTTGAAATAAATACTACTATTTCATTGAACTTTAACGAATATTTTGTAAAGATAAAAGAGATTCTATAATGTCACGGATGAATAGATTTGGATCTTCCCCTACCGTTTGAATATGAAAAGTAACGCCAGTCTATTGCCGGTATACTGCAGGTCTTTTTGCAGCTACCGGCGGTAGAGCGCACATTATACCGATCGGTCAACCGGCGGTATACCGCCGGTTTTTTTCGGTTTGAATCACATGGGGGTTAAGGTAAAGGAGAAAAGAGAACAGTGGAGAATATATTCAGTTGATGATAGTGAGCGGTGAGAGTAAGATTGAACAACGATATACGCATGTGTGAGTGATATACATAGTGGTGTATAACTTTATAGGTAAAAGAAGAATACTGTTGTTGAAATAAAAGAACAAATGATAGCGACGAGTAACGAAAATGTGCAGAAATCAACAGAAACAAAGACAAAGCCAAGAACTTAGTGATTTCTATTAACATTTTTCGTTACATTCAGTATGTATTTTTTTTCACTAAATAACGTATAGAAGTACTTGCTCAACCAACATACATTTTAAACTTAAATAGTGCAATATTTTATTATGAATGTTTTTTTTCAATATCATTTATCGGCTGTTTTCTCCTTTGTTTATTTGTTTGACATTTTGTTTTTATTAGTTTAGCTTTATGCGTACTTGAAAATGACCATGTATCTCACTTTATTTATTGATTGTGTATTTCTTATGTTAAAATTTTTTATTCATAAATATTATGAATATATAAAAGAGAAAAATAGAGATAAACTTAGTGTTTCTGTATAGATTACAAACATGGTGATAGATAACTTGCAGCGAATACTTGTTAAACTAATTAAAAATTTTTCTTATGACGTAATATGTGAATAACTCCTAAAACCATTTTTATGAATAGAGAATATTAATGATCATCAAACAAATGAACTAAGATATTTATTGGTAGTCAATACATTATTTTCTTTATCAAACTTCACTATGAAAAAAACAAATCAACGTCGAATAAGAATAATCTATAATTAGGGCGGCCAATTTCTGTTAGGAAAAAAATTTTATCTTATTGAAGAATCAGAGAAGTACAGTTTCAGTTTACTAACTACCGATTCAGTGTAATTAATACACATTGACGTCAATATTCACCGACACATTGCGTCACACAACTAGAAAAAAAGACATATTTTGATCGAATTGATGTTCCAATGTTGCAGCGAACGTGGATGTCAGTACTTCAGTAAACATCGATGCCAAGCTAAACAGTACCTCAATGTTCAGTATTAACACCAATACGATATATTTCAAGTAAGAACTGATTTTGTTCAAGTTTCAAAGAAATTTGAACATCCGATGAAGACTTTGTTTATTTGGAAATAGAAAGAAAAAAAAATGGGAGTCCTTCTATGATGTACTTGCTTTCATTTAGGAACATATTGTCTGCCTTGAGCATTTTTTGTCAATCGAAAAATCTATTGGAACTCTTAGTTTTATCGAAAAATTAGAATTGCTAGATTAAGACCTATTGAAATTTTGGTTTTTCTTTTCATTAAATTCAATATTAATATTTATCGTAGCAATTCTTTTCTTTCTGCCCTTTGTCATTGTAACAAAATCGACTGTATAAGGTTAATAAATATACAAAAAACAAATAGAGACTTAAAAAAATAATAATTTCATTTATATAAATATTTAGAATATAATCATCCAGTTTTTAATACTCAAGATATCTTTTTCTTTTCATTGAAATACTATTGGTAGTAAATCCAAAATTAGGTTTGGTTTTCTTTCTAGATTTCGTAATTAAATTAGGTATTCTCAGAAGAAAATATATATCACTACACAAAAGAATGAGAGTATATGTAGGATGATGAACATATAAGAAGCTTATTATTGAACTAACAATACTACGGGGAATAGTGGGTGTAATCTATGAGTTAAAAGAACCTATTTTGGTTGAAAATAAATGAAGAGCGAGAACTATGATTCATGTAACAGATAAGTCTTATAAATAGAATATTACTCTTCAAAAAAAAACAGTTTTTTTTCCTGTTTATTATTCAATTTGCTTAGATTCTCTGTTCTCTTTTATTCAAATACTTGAATGAAAGTTCTTCTAATTTCGACTAATAAATTTGAAATATTGAAAAATTTGTGTACATAAATAAAATCAATTATATAAAAATAAAAATTTAATACGAAGAAACAAAGCTTTTTTTTCTTGATATTTCATATTTTTATTTAAAACAGTCTAATTAAATAATTTCATTATCATCTGAATATAAGATCTAGTAAAAATTAAGAAATCTATGTTAAATATTATGTAATCTATTTGACATATATATGATTTGTGTATTCTTTATTTCCATATTAGTCAAAATTATATAATTCTCAATAAATCTAAATCAAATATTTCATTTAAAACAACTTAGTTGTATTTTAACTTCATACTTTACACGACTTACAACATTTCCTTAAACATACAGATTTAAATGATTTTTCTTTTGTTCACAACAGACAAACAGAACAAAATTCCTTTTATCATAGAGTCAAAGTCTTACCACGAAAAATCAGTATAATTATAACCTATAATCTTTAGTTTATGAATAGAATACTTGTCTTTCGATTACATTATTTTCGTCATGTATTACAACATTACGATAACTAAGAAGACTACATCATAGATGTTCATCACGGTTGGAGAACTGTCGCTGCCATAATAGTTTTGAAAAACTTTTCGAAAATTGCTTTCGTTAGTGTGATAAATTACTTCAGTTAGCTTGAATCCATTAGTTTCACCACAAATGCTGACTGTTGGACTTGTGAGCACTCAAATCATATGCAAACTCATGCGATTTTACAAACTTTCTAAAAAAAAAGCTCCCGCGTCGCAGTGGTACCAACTCCGCCATGAATATCTCTAGTTTACATCTTGACAAACACATAAAAATTCTGTATAATATTTATATGTTCTGGAAGCATGAACAAAAACGGTAATCCTTTTTTTTTTGTATAAGATTTTCGAAAAATAGATATATGATTTTAAGATAAATGAATAAATATCTGCAGATATATATCAAACTATATGATTAAGATTCTTCCCTATCACTAATAAGAGTAAATCTATTCAGAGCAACGCGATTTAAAAGGAGTGTTGAAGTATAGAGGTAAAGGTTAGACTTCCTCCGCCACTCCCGAGTCATCAATCATGACAAATTTAGAGATATGATTACGGACTGTATATCAATAACGTCTGTCTTTATACGAAATGAATTACTTGCTTATTGCGTTTCTTGAGGATTAAGTAAAAGAGCAGTGAAGAAATGTGTCCCTAAATTAATAGAATAGAACAATATCCCTATTGACTAGCAAGAGTAGCTACATTGTGTTTCACATTTTGATCCTTCAGAGATTGCACTATCAGCTTTTATAGTCAGAATAATAATCTAAATATGTACAGTTTAATTTTCAAATTTACTAATTAAATTTGCAGTTTTCTTAATGAAGACATGTCCAGTATCAAACTGTGTCCTTTCTTTGTTGTGTGTATCACGTTGCTAAAGCTTGTTAATAGTATAACTCTTTCGAAATATGATTTCATCGAGTTGAATTTTTGAGACCATGTCGAACAACTTAACATCATGTGCAATGCAAAAGAAATAACCCAAAATGTCGATTTTTATATTTATTTATAGACATTGTTTTTTGTTTTTTTACAATTCGATAGAAGATATTTACTCATCTCTCGAACTGTGTATAACTTATTTTTATTAGATATTCATAAATAGAACAGCATGGGAAGATATAAAGACAGTCTATAAATAGTTCTGCACTTTTTATACATTTCGGAATAATGACACAATATATCGAGTATGATATGTTTTGGTTAAACATATGTTGGAACGATAATTTTTGTTACCATCTGATAGGAAATTTAGTCTTCTTTCGAAGTGTATATAATTTGTTTTGGTAGGCGTCGATAAATGTCTGTACAAAAAATTTTTGATCTTATCATTGAATTATCGAAGAAAACCTACACATCAACCGACATTTGATGTTCAGATGGTATCAGATATATCAACAACTGCTACCTATTATGGAAAGAGAACAGAATATTCCTTTTTTATTAGAAAAAAACATGAAGAACAAATAAATCTTTATTAAATAATGAAATACAGTCGTCATGTCATATGTGAGAAAGATTCTTTCAAACGTCTTGAATCATCACTTGTAATGTAGTTAGCTTTTTCAATAATTCTCATATACTTTTACTGTCAACAAAGTCACAACTATTTTCAATTCGTATTTTACTTGATTTACAGAATTTCTTCGATATAACAATGAAAAGATAAAAAAAAAAAATTTTTGTAGGGACATTTATCAATGACTAACAAAAACAAATTATATACACTTCAAAAGAAAACTAAATTTCCTATCAGATGGTAAAAAAATTATCGTTCCAACATATGTTTAACCAAAACATATCATACTCCACATTTTATGTCATTATTATGAAATGTACAAAAAGTGCAAAACTATTTTTAGGATGTTTTTATTTCTTCTCATGCTATTCTATTTATGAATATCTAATAAAAATAAGTCATATACAGTTCGAAAGATGAGTAAATTTTCTATTAAATTACAGAAAAGATTTCTTTTTAAAAATAGTGTCTATAAAGAAATATAAGAGTCAACATTTTGTGTTATTTCTTTTGCATCACACATTATTTAGATCTTGAACTGCTTAAAATCTCAAGATACATGACTTTATATTATGTAAAGTCATATCGTTAATAAATGAAATGGTTCATATGTGTTCTTTGTCATATATATGTTATAAACTTTTCATGGCTACTTTTTTTTTGTAACATAATAGGATAGTAAAACAATATAGATAAGTATTAAAGATCACATTGATTCTTAGTTGTTCTTCATGTCAGAACGTTTTTTTTTTTTATTTGTAAAAGAAGATTAAATATAGATCCATAGAAGCAAGATAAGCTGCTCTAACAAATATACAAGTTCTTTTGACGTTGGATTTTTTTTTTAATATGCAAAATATTTAATAAGATTAATTAATTACACATCAATTATTCTTTAGAATAATCAAGGTAAATAATTGTATCAAATGATGTATTTAAAATTTCTATTTTGTTTCAGTAAGCTTTCTTTTCTTTTTTTTTGTTTTTCAACAATCATTTTGTTCATATTCAACACTGGAATTTATTTCCCATAAACTATTTATTATTTTAGTTTTAGGATATTCAGATATGTCATTACAGTTAATTGATTATCATGTACAACATTGTTTTTGGGTCAAAAAAGAATTGCACAATCTAATAAACTACATGACTTCTTTTTTCTATGCATCAATAAATATGATATGTGTTTCTTTTGATTGTAAAATGTACAGTCCACTTATCTTTCATTTGTTTTCAATAGATAAACAGACATCACTAGCAGGCATTATGTAAACCAAAATAGACTTATGATGATAACCAATATATCTTAAAGTAGAAATTAATTTTATTCTTAATTGAATTTATCAATCTTTAGTTGTGTTAAAATGTATATGTCACAGTCCTATATGAGTTTTTTTCATAATGTATAGAAGCAAATAATATTTTGTAGTATGTGACTTTGTATTATAAACAACATTGATATTGCAAAGAAGAAATATATCATCTTAAGTTATTTATTGTCTTGTTAGTTATTTCGATAGATTCTTATAATATCATGTCTTTTTTTTTTAAATCTCTTTAATAAGATTTTTTTCATCGTTCTTTTATGTTTTATAAAAGTCATACACAAATATTAATCCTTTTTGTATATTCTATCCTATTATCATACATTTGTCAAGCGCAATGAATTTATATTAATCATACTTAATATTTATTTGTCATGAATAAATCTTAACTTTTTAAATTTCTCTAATACATCAAAAGACTTTATTAAATAAATAACTAAAGTATAAGAATGAATAAGTTATTTCAAATAGTAACCATAATAAATTGTGCAATATGAATATTTTTTTTTTTCGTGCGCAGTTACATATTTACGTATAATTACACAGTTAATCATTCGTATTTGATATAAAGTTAGATTACTCTCATTATCAATTAATTTTCATAAGAAACATGTTAAATTATTGATCTGTCAGTTGAAAACTATATGATTATAGTTTTAGATAAGATTAAGTGATATGTATTCTAATTATAAATCGATCAAGAAAAAAAAGTATATATATATATATAACTTAAGTGTATTTCTGTGACTGTAAGATAATATAATTGCGATTGACAATTATTTTACTCGTCAACATGACATGATTTATATTAGATTAAACTCATTGCGTTTTTGTTTTTTCTATATGGTTCAAATAATTAAAGTAAAATTATGATTTAATTTAACAATGTAATGATTAATAATTTATATATTCATTATTGAAAATAATAAATACAAGAGTCATTTCATATCTGCATTATTATGTTTTGTTTTTTTTTTTTTACTTTGTTATTAAATATTCAATCTTATAATAATGCAAATTGCCTATATGATAAATATGATTTTGTTTTCTTTTTTTTTTTTCGTCTTTTTCTTGTTATCATTATTAACGGTACAGAAGATGCATATATAGAAATCATCCCCATTTAAAGATTGAATCCATATCACTAGGTCGAAAGTCGTTGTCATTTGAATCATCATAATATTTTGCTGAAACTGGATGTTTTAAAAAGATTTTACGTAATAATTCAGCAGCTAATCGACATTCTCGACTTGATGCACAATTAGTTAAAAATTTATGACGAATTGGTTCAGCTTCTTGTAGAACTAATAATATAAAAAATAAAATCAAAATAATCAAAATGAAAAAATTATATTTATTTTTTTTTTACCATCTTCCCAACCAGGTTCATTTGGTACTGTCCATTCATGACCATGAACAACAATTTTTTGTGTATGAGGACGACAATTAATAATGGAAAATTGAATACAAATGAAATAGACGAATATCATAAGTAATACAATACTGATTTTAGACATTTTAGTTTTTTTCTTTTTTTTGTTAAAGCTGAAATCAAAAATAAAATAAAACTTATTTAAAAAAATTTGTTTTTAAAGAAATTCAATGTTGATTTTATCAGAAAAAAAGTTAAACAAAAACAATCGTTGTCATCATATACGCCAAAAAAAAAAAGAAAAAGAAATGCGTAGGTAACAGAAGTTTGTTTTGTTTTGTTTTTTTTTCATACCTATTTTAATTATTTTGAAAGAAATAAAACAAGTTTTGCATTTTATTTTAATAGTATATTCATCAATCTTGTACGAAAAGGATAAATTAAAAATGTAAATCAGAGTATGTTTAGGTTAGAGAATTCATATAAAAAGTAGTGATGTATTTATTTATTTCATACATTAGATGAAGGTCATGACGAAAAAAAGCGTTTTTTTTTTGTTTTGTTTTGTCTTCATAGTATTTCTTTTTTTCGTGGTAGAAAAAACTTTACCATGGATACAAAATAATATAAGATATATATAATATGAAATACTTCTCGAATTTACTTTTTCTTTTTTGTAGTATATTTATAATGTTAACGAATAATATTACTTATTAACTTGCAAAAAAAAAAAAGAAATATTTTATTTCAATAAACTGAATAAAAATCTTATCTAACTTAATTCTATATGCAAATATAGTTATATATCATATACATGAATAATACAATATTCTTATCAGTTCTTTTATTCAAATGATCACTTACATGATTGAGATAAAGAAGATTCGTTAAACTCCACAGATTATTGTTGTAACTAATGATTGTAGAAACAAAATAGAAAGATTCAGTTGGACTTATTATATTTGACAAGAAAAAAGAATTCTTTATTCTCTCTCTCTCTCTCTCTCTCTCGCCCTCTGTCTCTCTATTAATATTTATGTTATATTCTCTACAATAATAAAAAGATAAACACAGAATAGATTTTTTTTTTTACACAATGACAATTTACTGTTCTGTTTCTTGTACTCTCTATATATATCATTTTCTCAATGGAATTAAAAACTTTACTTTGGTTTATGAATGCATATGAAATTGTTGTTCTTCTACTAATTGCAAGGATAACTCAAATGAGCAAATAACATACAATGTTTTACTACTAGACGATAAGACAAAAAAAAAAGAAAATTAATGCCGGAAGTTTAGCAAGGTCATTCTCTATCTAAATTATAAAACAGGGACATAATATAAAAAGAATTTTAGTTCTGTTTTTTTTGATTTATCAGTCTTATATTGTAGAATTTATTGTTGTAATAAATCATCATTGATTAAATTAACATATGATCAAGAATAGACAGCCTCCAATTACTTTTTTTTTCTTTATTTCACAAACATTAAACGAACTCAATGGAAAAGAAATGCTAATGTACAAATGGAATACTAAACACCTAATTCGAATATTCAGTGTTTTTTTTTTTGTATCGATTGTTAATTTAATCTAAATACTTATGTTCTTCAT